CAGGGATACTTACTCTACTAATAATTTAAATGTAATTTAAATATATTTAATACAGGGAACTTATTCTATTCTGTAGAACAATTTATTTAACATTGTTTATACAAGAGTAGATAAGAAGTAAAATAAAAAATAGATTTTTGATCTATTTAAAAAATAGATTGTTTGTAACTATATTTTCTTTTTAAAATTAAAAAATAATATATATTTTACTTCCACGATATTACAATACAAAAAAATTATTTTAATTTGCATTTTAAAATATTTCATTTGAAATACTGTCCATGTCTAGCTGAAGATAGTTATGCGTAATTAACATCAAACGTATTCAATCCTTTCAATCTAAAGTCCTTCGAACAATAGTTGATGCTCCGTTCTATGTAAATAACAAAATCCTGCACCATGACCTTAATATCCCATTTGTCCTAGACCTTATTCCAGAAAAATTCTCCAAATTTCACCAGAACCTTACCTATCATCCAAATCCTCTTGCACAATCTCTATCCAGCACCACCCATCCTTACAATCCTCCTCGAAGGTTGAAGCGGCAGTGGCCCAGAGACCTTCTGTAAATAAGCATCTATTGGAGTTTTGGCAATGGCCAGATCCTCCACTCAAGCCCGAGTGTGTATGATTAGGTTAGTTCTTTTGTTTATATACATTTATTTTATTTTATTGTATTTATTTTTATTTTATTTTATTGTATTTATTTTTATTTTATTTTATTGTATTTATTATTATTAAGTTTCCGTATTATTATTATTTTTTTTATTTATTGTAAATAGAGTGTGAGTGTGTTCTCTGAACACTATTACAAATGTCCTTGATGTGACAGAATGTGATATTTCTAAATAAACAAATATAAAAAAAAAAAAAATTATGAGAAATTATTAATTACTGATTTAGACAATAATTTACCACTGATACGTGAAAAAAGAAAAAGAAATTTGGAGGAATTTTTAATTCTGATTATAATGAAAATCCTAAGACGAAAATTAAGCGAAAATATAACATGGATCGAAGCTTGTATTTCATCATTAGCATTTTATTGGGTCCGTGTTAAATGAAAAAACAGATCGAACATCATTTGAATTTTTTTTTTGGTAATGTGACTGTTAATTTATTTATTCAGTTTATCATCATATTACCATTATTATTAATGGTAATAAAATCATCAATTAAATTAATTAGAAGGAGGCGTCGCGAATTGGAAAGAGTAAGAGAAAACTCGCGACATCGGCTAAATCTATTTATTTTTTTCAAATGAACTATTCGATAAAAACATTGAAAAATGTATATTCTGCCAACTGAAAATATTCTCGGAAACTCCGTGAACTCCGCAAGGTGTCAACGAAACAGTTTACCTAGTTTTTGGAGTTAAAAACTAATATAAAAAGACTAACTAAAAAAAAATTTAGCTGTTGTCGCGAGTTTTCTCTTACTCGTCCCACTGTGCGTCGGTATGAATATTATTCATGCTATAACATAAGCGAGGGGTTTTGGCAGGGATGAGGGGGAGGGGGGGTGTTTTCACAAGCCATATTTTTGGGGATGGAGGTCGCCAGGTCTTCCGATTTACTGGGTAGCCTATAAAAACACCTCGGGATGGCGGAGGCATACTACAGCGATTTTTTTGTCCATTTTTTTTTGTATTATTTTTATACTCAGGCTCCCAACTGATGGAGATAATATACAAAAAGAAAATTAGATTTTTTGGAGAAAAAAAAATCACTTTTCCACAACCTGATTTTTTTATTTGTTTTTATTCATTCAAAATCCAGAGAAAGCCTCTTTATATATTCAGTTTGATGATCCGTTATAAGACTGGTACAATTTGTGTAAGCTAAAAGAATCTCACCTAAAAGTAAAAAAACGTCTGCCAAGTGAAGTCAGTATAGCTTCCTCACCGTTTTCATTGGCTAAAAAATATCTCTATTACAAGATCTAAAATTTATCGTATCGCAATAAATTCTGTAATCCCTTAACATATAAGCTGGAATATAAAAATATGCGTGAAGTTCACACAACTTTGATATTTAAGGAGGAAATCGAGATCTCGACGATTTGGTTGAACTTCAATAGAAAGAAACATAATCAAAAATAAGACTTAGAGGAAAAATTAATTTAAATTTACCGAAAATAACACGAAATCTATGTAACGGCAGTAAGTGTCATGCCAGTAACGTTTTGAATCGACCAAACAATGTAGTATAAATTAACTTTTTGAATACAAACTAAAATTTTACAATTCCATAAAAATATTGTATTAACTTTATTCCTCCACTCCATATGATCAATGTCTTCCACATTTCACAGCCATTATATTGTTAAGAATTATTTATATTAATTTTAATTATTAAATGAAATTCAATGAAATTGATACTAGGTAATTTCTACACTATTCTCCAAATTTCCTCCAAGTTTGGGTCAAATCGAACGAGCCATTTCCAAACTATAGGGATGTCTATAAATACATTTCCTGATCTGAAAGCGGAAGTATTTCTTTGGAAGCAGTGAACTGAATTTTATAAAATTCATACATACATGATTATCTCTTAACGAATCCCCAACTTCTCCCAAATTTAATCCATATCGAACGTGGGGTTTTAGAGACATTGGCGTATCAACGAAAACACGTTTGCTCATATAGACGAAAAAGTATAGAACCGATTTTGATAAAATTGACACTGCATTATTTTTATATTAATGCCTAAATTTTTTCTAGCTTTGAGCCAAATCTAACGAACCGTTTCTGAATTATTGGCATATTTAAGAAAATAAGTTTGAGCGTAAGTAAGCGGAAGTCTTAGATGGAATATAATGAAATTGATATGGGACCATCTGGACACCAAATCACACAATCCTTAAAATTTTTATAAAAATCATCGATTTGACTACAGGATACATTTATTTATTTAATTTTTGGGGCTACCCATTTTCTTTCTTTTTTTAATTCCTTTACTTTTTTTTTAGTATAAGTAATTAAGGTAACAATACTGGTTTTAGAGATATTATTTATATATTTCTCTCGTGATACGAGCTTACCTATATTGAATATTATAATATATGTAAATATCACGTTATGCAAGGAATCCTTACTTTACTAAATTTGTTTAAAGTCATAAAACAAATATTCACTCACCCTCTCCAATCAATACAAGTCCCAATCTATGGTCTAGGATAGAATAAACAAATCTTTATTATTGGCCAACTATATTTATTCAAATTTTACTTAATAATTTATAATGAATATCTTCAGCGATTTCCATTTCGTGGGCTCTATGTACTTTTTCGAATAAAAAAAACAAACTATAAACTAAAAAAATAAATACTGAGTATCAGTTCAAAAATGTATTTAATTTTAACTTTTCTAATAGAAATAAATTTATTTCGTTCAAAATATTTTAATTAAAATTTATGTCTCAGTGGTTTGACAAATAATAAAAAATCCATGATAAAAACGTAAGATAATTGTTAACTGTTTTATAATGTTCAGTAAATACTTTCTATAATATCCATTTTTTTTTTTTTTTATATTCAGTAAAGATCCTTTAAAGAATAAAAATGTAACTCAAGACCTGGATTACATTATTACGATAAAAAAATTGATATGATATCGATATAACAGAGGACAATTATGCTTTCAAAGACAATACAAATTAATTTAAAATGATATAATAATCATGATTTTTCGTTTATCTATTTTCAAAATAATAAAAAGTTGTAACTGTTTTACAATGTTCAACAAATACTTTCTTAGAAATAAACATGTCTGTAATATCCATTTGTATTTTTTTTTAATTTATCTATTCAGTAAATATGCTTCAACGAATAACAATGTAAAATAAAACTTGCATTACATTATTACGATAAAAAATAGATGTCGATATTAGAAGCTCATTATGCTTTCAAACACAATTAAAATTTTAATATTTGATATTTTGTTTATCGATTTGCACAAAAAAAAAAAAAAAAAAAAAAAAAAAAAGTTTTGACTGTTAATGTTGAGTTAATACAATATATGATATTAACTTAACGATAATATCCATTATTTTTTTCTTTCAAATGTAACTATTCACTAAATATCCTCCAAAGAATAAAAATGAAATTCAAAATCTGAATTACAATACTGTAGTTATCCACTATAGGTCACTATATTATAGTTATCAATTATATTATTAATTGGGAGGGAATAATATTAAAATTATAAGTTTTGTTTACAGATTTACAAAATAGAAAAGAAAAGAAAAAACATAAAACAGTACTGATTTTTGTTTTTTTATGTAACTTTAATTAATTTTATGTTTGACAAATTATTAATTACTGAAGGAGAAAATAATTTACCGTTTATATAAATTTAATCGATCTCTGATGTTTATTTATTGAATTAAAAATAATGATCACTCACTCAGTGGCACGGTTTTACGTAAATAATAATGACTAAATTGTGATAAAAAAATTGTTGATTAGAAAATAAAAATCACCTTTTACACATATAATAAACTAAATATTAATATGTACGTATACATTATTTATGTACAAATTTTTTAATATTATATTTCTGAAATATTCATTATTGTGCACGCGGTACCTGCACTGTATATATATTTTGTTCTGTAAGCCAAAATGTCTTGTAAATAATGATCAGGGTATGATTTTTATCGCTTATGATCAAAAATAAAAATTGCTAATAAATAAAAATCACCAAATGATTTTTAAAATTTTTTATCAGACTTGATTTTTTTTATTATGGATTTCAAACCCTGCTTAAAACAGTACTGATTTTTGTTTAATTGAGTTAATCAAGTTGCTTCCTAATTCATTTTAAGTTTTAGTTGAAATAATAAAAGTAATAAAATAGGGTGAAGTTATTTTAATTTTATTATAAAAACAAGTCTAATACATAACTAATTAATAAATAAAAATTATTACCTAAGCTTGCCCTTTTAAATTGGACTCTATTAAACGGCTGGGAATTCGTCTCGTCAAGTTCATTAAATAATTCAGCATACCATTGCGTCGTCCTTGACATGACGGGAACTTTCTCGACTGTCCAGTACCGTAGCCGCGAATCCGACGTGACCAAGGTCTGGAGATAAGACGCATTGCGCAGCCAGATCCTCAGCCTCAACCAACGGCGAAGCAACTACTGAAATGTCGCCTTGCAGCTGGCGCATGTTGGAACCTCTCCAAGACATGGTCCAATCTATGATCTAGGATAGAAAAACAAATCCCTATCATTGAGCGAATGTTCCTTCCTTCGTGCCTTTAAGCAGTTCCACAACTGGATTGTAGCTATCGATCACAAATCTATATTCATTTCTTTATAGCGATAAATTAAAGAAACATTCCTAACATTTAGTTCTTTCGGCGAGATATTTATTTACTTTCAAAATTGTTAGGGAAGACTGGGTACGGTTGTAACAGAGTATGGTTGTTTGTTTGTTTATTTGGGCTTTGAGGGATAAAATCCTAGGGTCATCAACGCCTGTTAGTAGTTTATTTTTGTTCTCTGTAGTTCAGGAAATTATTAGAAAAAAAAATAGATAAATGAATAAACTATATAAATAAATAAATTTTAAAAAATGTATGTGCATTTCTATATTTTGTTAAATAACCTCCTATGGATTTTAAGAAAGTTTAGAACTGCTTCTATGTTTGATTCGCCATTATTTAATATCACTGAAATATTTAGTCGAAGATATAATCCATTTAAGCTTGTCCTGTGATAGGGGCATTCCTGAAAATATTACTGACAGTGAGAGGACTATTGCAGTATGGGCATGTTGGAGGCGGTTGTTTGTTGATGAGGTATAAATTCGTATGACTTATTCTCAGCCAAGTCACTGCGACTTCTTCTCTGTGATTGAACGGTTTGATGTGGTCCAGGGCAATAATGATTTTTTTATAACTTTTAACTTACTTGGTGGGTCCATTTTTCTGTGATAAATTAAAATTTTGTCCCAAAATTATTTTTAATGAAATATTGGCTACTGTAAAAATGTGTGTAAGTTTATTAAATTATGAAATTTTAAATGGTTTGAAATGCGTAATTTTGACTGAAACTAGATTTCAAAACCAAGACATACTGTTATTTTTTCTTCCCTCATAAAGTAATCCAGTACGAAGTCGGTTTATTGATAATTTTACATGTTCCATGCATTACGAATAATAAATGTATTACAATGAATGAAAGGAAGAATTACAATCTTATAAAATTTATAAATTATAGTTATAATATAAAGTTCATTTTTTTCTAATGAATCGCTTAAAAAAAATTAAAATTACATAAGATAATTATAAAGAAACCAAAATAGAAAAAGCACAATTAAAAAACAAGCAGAACAACTCTTTATTCCCTTATACGTAGTCAGAACATTTTGATAGACTTCACAATATATCAATTTTCTATTTAACTATTCTATTTACAATATCTCAACTTTTCTATTTCCATTTATTTCTTATATAACTTCATATTCTTTTTCTCTGTTTTATATTTTATTCTAAGATTACCATTTTACTTATGTCATCTTATTTTGATTATGTTTACTTCATTAGTCCATACTTTGTAACCGTTATCATTATTTATTTCTTAGTTCTTGTTATTGTCATTATTCTATCAACTTTATTTTACTTTAATGTTCACTTACCTACTTCATTTTACTTCCTTATTTTTATCTACATAGTTTATGTTTCTCATACCAATTGTTATCTGTTTCTTTTCTCAGCCCTGATGAAGGCCTAAACTTCGGATCGAAACGTCGGAAAATGTATAAATAAATATAATTTTTACTTTCACTTACGTATATATGTAATATATAGTAAGGGTAAGTATTGCGATCGTGAAAATTTTCGAATCACAGTTTTCAACGGAAAGAATTTGATAAGTTAATACAGGAGAAAAATAAATAAAAATGCAGAAAAACCTGCGTTTTTATAGACTGTAGCGCCTAAACGAATGTACCGATTTCAATGAAACTTCGCTAAAGTCATTTTCTCGATACCCTTTAAATTTATTTATTAAATTAAATTTATCTATATAACTTACTTCGACGAAAAGAAGCTGGAAAAGAAGTTACGAGGGATGTTAAAATTAAATTCCGAATAACTGAAAAAATATAAACCTTTTTTGGTGATACTGTATATGTTTTTCTGAAAGTTTACGGAATTTCCTAAAAAAAAAAAAAAAAAAAAAAAAATCGTTAAAATCGGACAATTGGGAGGAAAGATATGGTCTCTAGTTTTTTTCCTGAAGAGGCGAAAATTTGAATAAATTTTAAATATACTTTTTTAATTGTTGAGACTAAAAAAACCTTTTTTCTACAGATATTTAATAAAGTGTCTTTCCTAAGAACATCTTTCATAAGAAATAAGTACCTGAATTTATACCTTTATTCTCAGTTCTATATTTCAACACTGCAATCACCACCTCTGGAATCAACTAACTCATTGTCTGTATAGATAACTTTTTCAACTAAAAATATCACTAAAATGACATCACTCAAAAATGTTGAAATTGGAGTTAGTCATTCTGTGGTTTATAAAAACAAAGAAAGTTATGTGGTTTATAAAAGCAGATGGAGTGACTAGATTTTTATTACCTGTCGTCGATATATTAAATAGACATTTTATAATTATAATGGTCTTAATGACTTGTTATCTGTAAGCTTTAAGATTTAGCTCCGTTTAAAATGCACTTCAAAAAATTTTATAATAGCCCAGCATTGCCAGAAAATAATTTCTATTCAAAGTAGATCGGTAAGTGAAAGTTGTGTGTTGCGCGCACCAGATTTTTTTTATTTTGAATGATCATCTCAACTATCCATCCCTTCATTATTAATCGCTACGTTCATCTTGGAGGAGTTGGAGATCAATTTCAGATATAAAATTAGCGGCCAGTTATCGCTTTGGAGAACTATGCTTCTTATTAAATTATGATTTTGACTTACTGTCGAAGATAGGGCACCAGTATAGAATATGATGAATTGTCTGGGTAGTTTGTCCGTCGCAGTTGCATTCGACAGATGAAACCGTTTTAAGTGAAATTGACTTTGTCCATGTTCAGTTAAAAACTGTAACAGTTTTTAGTGTGTACTTTTGACATTGTAATAATTGGCGATTGTAATTTCAGAAACAAGACATACTTATTACGAGTAAGTTCAATAACTTGTAGGACCTAGAAGAAGCACCATGCCTGATTTGTTTTATAGTAGCAACGTGCTAAACGGTATCAGTCACGCTAAGGGCGGATCCGCTAGAGGGTTCCAAGTTCCAAGAAGAAAACTTAAATAAATACTTATTATAAACACACGTTACATATTTATAGTTCTTAGCAGAGTGAGTAAGCATCGTATTCTCACGGTCCCGGGTTCGAATCCAGCAGTGGCTAATATTTAGAAATTCTTATTAAATTTAATCAATATATTATAGACTTTTATACAAAAAAAAAAAATACCTCGTTTAACCCCATAGTTTTTATATTATTGATGAAATAACTTTTTAACAAGGAGTTTTATTTTCCCTTCAATTTAACGTTTCGAACCAATAACCATAATAGCATCCATTTAAAATTTAATAAAAGCACAGTAAAAATACAATAAGGGCAACCAAAAAGGAAAGAAATTAAGGTGAAAAGTTTTTTATTTCTTATTTTTAGGGTTGGTTTTTGTCATCTATTTTTGGTAATTAAATAAATTTTGCTAAAAAAATTTTTTAAAAGGATTGTTTTTTTTTAAATTTAATATGTTTGTTTTAAATTATTACATTATAAAGGAGTTATTAAATTATAGGTTACTTCATACATGAGAAGAGAAATTTTGTGGAATTTCGTAAGAAAAATAAAAATAAAAATTGCTGTTGCAGCCGAAACGTTAAAAAAAAAAAAATAATAAATGCTTGACATTGAGATTAAAAAGGATTTTGATAAATAAATAATCATACATAGGTGAAATATAATTTTAAAAATACATATATATATAGTTTATTACTTTATGGAAGATATACAGAAATGTTATTTCTTATTCTTTCCACATCCACAATATATTAGCCTTTTGTTTCCTTCTCATTTTGTCAAAATCGCTTTTCGAATAAATAATACAAATCACTTATAAAGTCATAATTCAACAAAGTTATACACATTTTTTCATGGTAACCACTATGTCATTAAAAACAATATTGAGCAAAATTTTATTCTATCACAACAAAATGCACGTAAAAAACAAAAACTTTATCTAATTTTCATCGTTTTTTACCCACAGTTTCATCTTATCCTTTTCAGACTGACTGTAGCTTAGTTTAACTGACTGTAGCTTATTTTTTTTACTGAATTTGATATGAAAATTATTGCATTTTCCAAATTTTTTTTGTATGTTTAGGTAAAATCAAATTTATGCTTTTCATCAAATCCATTTTGTATCAATTATTTTATTGTATTAAAGGTTATTTTTATTTTTTAAATCGTATTTATGTTGGTACCTTCGGTATTTAATGAATTATCCACTTTCAATATAATGTATTCCCCGGCAGTCCAAGTAGTTTATTTTATACACAATACTTGAATTTTTATTTTCATCGACTTTATCTTTCATGTTATTCAACGAATTTGATATTTTATTAGTTGGCTCATAAGCAAAACTGTATTCAGGTATATCTAAATTTTAAAAAAATTAACAAGATATATTTTTTTAATAACGTTGATCATATACTGATTTAATGTAATAATCGTATAAATATTCCACAATATGAATAATATAAATAAGGTATTTTATCATATTAATAAAATCTGTTAATGAACTAATTCGTTATAAATCAGTTATAAGATAAAATTTAATATACACCTACCCCATAAAATTAATAAAAAAGTTTTTCAAAACAAATACCCAAGAATTATCAAAAAGTCCCCCTATTATACTAAAATAAATTAGGTGCTCCTCAAGTCCATTAATACCTGAAACAGGAAATGTTAAAAAAAAAAGGCAAAAAAAGACAATCCCCAAATATTAACAAGATAACGAAACATATTTTTCCCTAAAATCGCCTATAGTTTATTTTATTGTAAAAGGTATTGGGTTTTTTCACTAGTGTTTATTTTTTATCAATAAATCTAACATCTTATTTCCAATATATTGCATTTTTTTCATTTATGTATATATAGAAATTTATATATATATATATATATATATATATATATATATATATATATATATATATATATATATAGAGAGAGAGAGAGAGAGAGAGAGAGATAAATCAAATTCAAATAAATTGTATAAAAATTGTTACGTTTGTCAGTTAAAAAGTAATGAAGCCCTCTACTAGCGTTAATGTCGCGCGATGCGTTAGCAATACTGTTAAATACGTTCAGACAGGCACAACGTCCCTTTCTTCCAAATAAACCTATCGGCTATTCCTTATAGTTTCGCTAATATGACGACTGTCATAACCGAACCCAGTCTCCCCTATATTATTTTCACAACTACTAAGTTGTGTGTGTATCCTTGTATAGTAAACGTTATATATATATATATATATATGTGTGTGTGTGTGTGTGTGTGTGTGTGTGTGTGTGTGTGTGTGTATTTTCGCTGCTGTAGTAAACTTACAGAAGAAGCGTATATTTCTTAGAAATGTGCATACACCATGCAAAAGCATATTATATGCATTACATTGTTATTCCAACATAGTAACATAGAAATGTTACTACTGTTACCTTACCCATTGTCATAATCATAATAGCTTAATATTTTTTCCACGCCAGTTCATTGACTCAGTAATGTAATACGGAGAAAACTGAATAATTAAAATAATTTAAAATATTCCGATTTTTTTATTTTGGTTCTAATTATTTTAAATAATTCAAGAAATAAGTAGGAAATATGCTCATTAATATTATATTATTTTGATTAGTTTAAATTTCTTTTTGTTTACATATATTTATTTTTAGTGTTATTATTTGTGATTATAGGTGTGAATGAACTCCTGTATCACTATCACTAGATTTTAGAAACCGGTTTTTCCTGCAGTAACGACATAAAAACGTGCAGTCAAAAATTCAAAATGTGCCAAATCGTCTAACGAAAATCCCCACAAAAAAAAAAAAAAAAGAAAATATATATATATATATATAGCGTGACATTAACGCTAGTAGAGGGCTTCATTACTTTTTAACTGACAAACGTAACAATTTTTATACAATTTCTTTGAATTATTGTTGTTTTATATATATACAGATGGAGGAATGAATGTTTTTCCTCGTTATAAGTTGAATATTATTTATAATTAGCAGTTACTTGGTACGTAGATGATTCCATATTATCCAGAAGACTGGTTTTTTTTTTGGGTTTTTTTGTGACATTGTGACACAAGTCATTTTTTTTTTCACTCAGAAAACGCTCCAGGAAGACCGAAAGTTTATTCTTATACAAATTTGCCTCATTAGTTATAAACGATTAAGTTATTCTATAATGTTAAACAATACAATAAAAGTGGTTTTAGACTATTTTGGTCTGTTTTTGAACCTGTCACTGCCGATATCAAGCACTGTTACAAACGTCCATGGGGTGGGGTCAGTTGTGACATTTTATTATTTTATTTGCTGTTATGAAATTGTACTTATGAATAATATTTTAGTATTTATACGTAGTCAAGTGTACACTTTACAATACAAAACAACTTTATTCCATCTAATGGGTATACCAACAAAATTGAGGAAGATGAAATGAAAATCGTCATAACCGTACCCCAGTCTTCCCTATATATATATATATATATATATATGTCATTGTATTATTTTAGAAGAGGAAATCTGAATATTCAGCTGAAACTCAAAGTCCTGAGTGGGACTCTTGTTCTTCATAAGTGGGGCTGCAACCACTAAAACCACCTTCCCATGCAACAACTGAGCTGCTCCAACAAGTTGCTCTTCTTTCATGTAACAGCCTCGGTTGTGGAGTATGGTCCCTTGGCTAGCCTCCCAGTTTAGTGCATCATTATTTCTTCTTCAGTTTCAACTAAATTACTAAGTGTAAATTACTTGTTACCAATGCACCACTAGCGGATCCAGGCTTTAATTTTGGGGGGGGGCTTCAGCCCGAAACATTTTTTTTTCATAAAAATAACGATAATTACTTTGGAAAAACAGAAAGAAACTAACTACATATATGAAATGGTGTTTAAGTTATTCCTTAAGTAGTATTAAATGTAATTACACGAAGAATAATACTTTAAGAGGTATTTTATAAAATTATTTTCCCATAAAACATGGTTATATTTTTCCATTTTGGGGGGGGCTTCAGCCCGAAAGCCCCCCCCCCGTAGATCCGCCCGTGCAATGCACTGAACTTTACCATTTTAAACTGTCTTTTGATGCGGAACTTCGTCGACCAAGCACAACATTTTATAAACAAAAAGTGTACTTAAAATCAGTGAAACATATAAGAAATATTCAGATTAAAATAAAATGTGTAGTACCATATGGGATGCCTCATATCAAAGACGTACGTCTGCCATTTTCATAAGGTAGAGAAAAGGTCAATTTTTGTTTTATAGATTCAACTCAAAATATTTTTGATGACTTTATTTAAGAATGTTCAAGTTGAGTCATGAAAAAAAAATCATTTGAACCGTTTTAAATTGAAGCTATGTATACAAAAATTAACCTTTTCTAAACTTGTTAAAAATTACAGATGTCTTGCAGTATTGCAGATATATATATATATATATACTGTTGTTTGCTATGGTGCAGAAACCTGAACGCTAAAAGTTATAGACCGACACATGCTAAGTGTATTTGAAAGGAAGATCCTAAGACGTATTCTTGGTCCAGTTCGCGTCCAGCGTTTGTGGCGCATTAGAAATAACCAGGAGCTGCAATACTTGATAAGGCATGAAAACATACAGAAGGCATTGAATCGGGACGAATGGAATCGATTTGTATGTAAGGCCAAAGTCCACCTTGGACTGTAGTGCCGGCGAAGTTAGTAAGTATATATATATTCATTTCAACATTACATTACATTTCGTCACAATAAAGAAGAATAGTAGAGACCGGATTTTCGTTCAGTAAAACTCAACATGTGCAAAATATTAGAATAAAAACCCAAAATATTTAAATTTATGTGATTAAAACCAGAAAAGGAGCAAAAATCATCTATTTTGTTTAATGTATTAGATTAAGATGTCGAGATCTGATCAAACCGAATAAAATGTGCAATAACAAGGAAATCCGGCCTCTAATCAATATAACAAATTTAAAAAAATAGATGATTTTGCAGGTTTTCAGGTGTTAATTACACAATTTTAAATATTTTGGATTTCGCACATTTTGAATTTTTTACTGCTCGTTTTTATGTTTTAACTGCAGGAAAATCCGGCTTCTAAACATTATTGATAGTGATACAGGAGTTCATTCACACCTATAATCACAAATAATAACACTAAAAATAAATGTATGTAAACAAAAATAAATTTAAACTAATCAAAATAATATAATATTAATGAGCATATTTTCTTACTTTTTCCTTGAATTATTTAAAATAACAAGAAAAAATCGGAATATTTCAAATTATATTAATTATTCGGTTTTTTCCTTATTATATTACTGAGTCAATGAACTGGCGTGGAAAAAATATTAAGCTATTATGATTATGACAATGGGTAAGATAACAATAGTAACATTTCTAAAATCAGACGTAGTATCAAAGTTCCTTATGTTAATATCCCTTTTAATTTTAGAATTCCTATATTAGAAACCTACATCGAAAAAGATAGATATCCTTTCATAATAAACTAAAAAAAAAACCTTACAAATTTACCAAATATTTCGTTTGCTATGCAGCTAGATAAATACAATAGATAAGTCGAAAACGCGTCTACGCTATCTCCTTCCATTCAAAACCTATCAACTCCTGGTATCCTCCCTTTCCTCCTCCCCCCCCCCATTTTAAGGTTATTAGAACTCAGCGAGCCTCCTATATTCTTTAGTGCCAAATATTTAAATCCTCAATTCAATTCCGTGCCACTTGATCCTGTACGTCCGACCACTATCCTCCTTCCCACCGAACAGCTGCATTTGACAAATCCTTTGTAATTCAGGTCGTTTCTCTCTGGATTTCCACCCCTTCCCATATTCAACATGCTACAATCAGTTTCCTCTTTCAAATTCCTCCTCTTTAAGCACCCATTCAATTCCCAATGCGACTGAATCACGAAATGCACGTAAGAGAACTATTGAATTACCCTCAGAAACTCTATTTTGTTTATTGTTCTATTTTATGTTTCAAATTAATGTTGTTTTTTTAAAAATATATGTTTACTTTTTTTCTCGCTATATCTTTAGTTTCTAACTACCTATCATTATGTAAAAGTTTAATTTATGGCCGCCCTGATATGTCTTATTTATTCTTTATGTTTAAATTATTCCAAAGGGACTATTTATCCCAGGATGATAAAATTATTTTCATGATAATTTTTGAAGTTGGCTTAAGGACATCTCAAATATAAAAACTTACAGTGCTTAGCATTAGTTTCTCAACAAGCCATTTCAATTCCTTGATTATCTGTACCATTATATTTATTAGCTGTATTGTTTATATTGCGTTAAATATTTATAAACATAAATTCAAGTATTATATGATTTTACATACAAGATAGAACGTCATACATTAAGCGCAATATGAAAGAACAAGTTGAAGAATCTAGTCAGTCATTGTCTCAGAGAATGAAGGTGAGGATGTTAAAATGGGCGAAGCATGTAGCCTGAAGCAATCCATCAACCCTATACACTGCCTTGAATACCTTCTTCAGTACTTAGCAAAAGACCACGTGAGGAAGTTTAAATAGGTAGGAAAACAATGAACGAAAATTTGTTCTTAAAACATCAGATATATACACTTCAGATTTTCAGACTTAATATTATTAACAATTATATAAACTCCATCCTTTGAATTAATAAATTTGGCCAAAACGCAACAAAAGAAAAAAGAAAAGAAAATGCACCTGTATGACTATCAACAGAACTAGATGGAAATAAGATATTGAGCTTTGGGACTTCATGAAATTACTGAAATCCAAAATCCATCAAAAGATTCTTAGTTTTATTTTTGAACATATCTTAACGAATTAAGTTGAACATTAAAATCCTAGTATTCCTATATTAGAGACTTACCCCGGAATAGATGCCTATCCTTTCATTATAAACTCCATACTCGCAAAAAAAAAAACTTGCAAGTTTATTAAATATTTAGTTTACTAAATAGATAATTCGAAAACAAATTTTTAAGTTAATTTTCGATAATTTTCAAAAATGGCTTAAGCACTCCTCCAATAGAAATGCCCATAGAATGCTACAATTAGTTTCTCAATAAGCCATTTCAGTGCATTAATTATCTGTATCATTATATGAACATTTCAGTTAACAGAATGGCTACCTCTAATTTTAACATTTATTTCATTAAATTAGTATCAATTATATATATGTCCCTTCTTTAGAAAATTCTCTACTTTTTTTTCAAAAGTATGACAAAAACATTTGCCATCAATTATCAATCACAAAAACCTCTAAGAGATAAGATAAAAGTAAGAGATTTTTAAACAAAAGCATTACGACCCCTCTTTACTGGAAAATGTTGAAATAGGAATTAGTCATTCTGTAAACTGAAAGGCTCATATTTACTTATATCATTCCTTTTACATTCGAAGTCATCCTCTATCTGGCTTCAAGGAGTTATAATACTTTTTGAGAAAATAAAATAATTGAAAATTGGTATTTTGTGCCCGATTTTAGCGTTTCGATCGACTGAGCGCCGTTGCCCGGCAACCTGATAAAAAAGACACGATTTCGCGTCCCGGTGCCGGGGGAGTTTTTTAAATCCCCAGCCCCAATTTGTATATAATAATATAATATAATATAATACAATTTGTATTTATTGTATAAACTTTTTAATTATTATTTAGCTGTTTTTTTTTTCTTCTTTTACTTTATATTTTCTGTATATATAGTGTGAATGTAGTCTTGCCTCACTGTAATTATAGTCCATACGACAGTATGTTATATTACTCAATTTAAAAAAAAAATTATAAATATATATATATATATATATATATATATATATATATATATATATATATGAATTACGTAAATTAAGTTGTAGCTTAAAAATTAAAAATTAATTTATATTACAGTAAATTTACAAATTTAAAATATCTGAAATTCTTTCCTAAAGATATATGGATGACTAAAAGACTTTTAAGCGAAAAAAAAATGTTGATTTGTGGCACTATGGCGCTTATTATTTGATTTGAATTTATTTTTTAAACTAGAACAAATAAATTATCAATGATCCTAATAATATCAACATTTTTTATCTGTGGATGCGCTTGGAGATACCACTACGGAAATCCATCTTTACAAGATATGGTACACCAAGACCAGAAGAGACCTAGTCGATAATAACTAACCGACAATATTTTCAAGCTCAAACCTCCGAGAAATGAATCAGAAAAATCAACGGCTTCCAATAAATTTACCTCTTGGAATCTATGTCGGTGATATAGCCAGGCTTACAAGGCACATTTTTAAATTATAAGGTTCACGCAGTTCCATTGTTAGAGTAATAAATATACTATAATAGGAACAATAAATACAATGAAAATCCGTCAGGTATAGGGACCGAATCTTTTTAATTATTATTATTACAGCTATAAAAAAGAAGTTTTCCAAATATCTGTTCGATTAAGTAAATAATTTTATAAGTAAACCCAATATTATTTTTTTTTTTTTTTTGTGGAATTAAACCAATTTTTTTTTTAACTATAAAAATTATAGTAGAACAAAACTATACATTTCATGGCGCCTTAGGAAAACCATAAATTACCAACTACCAAGGAAAAGAAAAAAGAAAAAAAAACATAATAACAATAAAAACAAGAATA